TCCAGAAAGGGGCGCAACTGGCGTATCAGGCGAACCTGATGAAAAGCCCCCCTGGCCACGGCTGTCACATGATCGTCTAAAGACAGCCGAGCATCCAGGAGGACGCCCAGGTTGCGGGCCCTCTCCGCGGGAGCTAATGACTCGCCCCCGATAGTCAGAGATGGAACCAACTGGCTATGATGTGACGCCGGAAACCACATTAGATAGAATACATTAGATAGAATACATTAGATAGAATAGAAACGACGTTTAGGCACATGGACAGCACCAGATGGACAACAATGAAATCAGATAGACTTCACATTGCCAACAACACTGGAAAGGTTCAATTGCATCTGTTAAGACATTAGTGGCATTGATTGTAGCTCAGACTATCTGCCATTAATGGCTAAACTGAAGTTCCAACTGTGCAAAGTGAAAAAATGTATTATCCTCCCAAAATTCAATATAAACTCCATCTCACCTAGGTACACCATAGAAATTAAGAATAGGGTTGAACCACTGAATCTGGAAGGGAAAGACCCAAATGAACAGTGGTGAGAGATCCAAGCTAACATCATGGAAATTGCTGGAAAGTATGTGTCATGTCAAAACCAAAGAGAACAAATAAATGGCTATCTGATGACATATGATCAGCATAGGGCAGCATAGGGCTGCCAGAGCCAAAGATGATAAGGATGAAGTCAAAAACCTGAATGTAATTTTCCAACATGAAGTCAGGAAAGACAAAAATAAGCAGTGGGAGAAGCAGTGTCAACATCTGGAAGAAGCTAACAGGAAGGGACATACTAGGGTCATATTTGCTGTAGTGAAAATGGTGCAGTCCAGCTTTTCAACACAACAAGGAGTTGTTAAAGATTGCAGTGGGGATTTATTGAATGACCAGCAGAAGACAAAGAGCAGGTGGACATAATATACGGAAGGACTATATAACAATTTGACTTATCATCAAGATGACAATGATGACTGTTCAATTAATAAAGAGCAACAAAACCATCAACATGACAATGACAATGTTCAATTAACAGCAAACATCTCGAAAGAAGAAATAGAATGGGCCATGGAGAAATGGTCGAGCTGGAAAGCCCCAGTTATTAATGGAATACCTACAGAATTATTAAGATTAATGCAATTATGGATTATGAAAAAGGCACATGAATATCAACATGATCTATATATGTGTTTTATAGATTACAGAAAAGCTTTTTACTGTGTAGAACACAATAAGCAATGTCTGGCTTTGTGTAATCAGGTGTTCCAACCCACCTGATAAGACTTACCAGATCACTATACCTGATCAGAAGGCAACAATGAGAACGCTCTATGGCAATGCAGATTAGTTTGAGATCAGTAAGGGAGTAAGAGATGCAGTTTATTGTCATATTTGTTCAATCTGTATGCTGAAGTGATCATGCAGAAATTAGATCTGGAATTGATTTGAGAGTGAAGATTCACTTCGACTGAAACTAAGGAAGACATGGAAAAAATTATCTGGAAAATCAAGGATGAAAGTGGAAAAAAAGTAGGATTGAGTCTTAACTTCAGGAAAACAAAGATAATGACAACAGATACAGATGGACATGAGATATTTAAAATGAACAAGGAAGAAATTGAATTAGTTTGAGAATTTATCTTCCTTGGATCAAAAATTGCTCAAGATGATAGTTCCACACCTGAAATCAAACACAGGATAACCTTAGACTGTACTGCAATGGTTAATATGAATAAGATCTGGAAAAGCAGAATTATTGATATAAATATAAAAAGCAGACTAGTTAGAGAAACAGTCTTCCCTGTTTGTTTTAGAGCAATATAGGCACGGTAGCTTGGACACCTAAATAAGATGGGCTAACAAGAAATTGATGACTACTGAGATTAATACTGGAATTATTAACCTCAATAGTCTCCCTTAAAAAAATACTTTTCTCATTTCCAATAAAGAAAATTAAGTTTCCTTTTTTCCTACAGAATCTTTAAAGTAATTGGGTTAATTTGCTTAGATTAAAATACAGTTATAACACTGTTAATTTGGAAACAATATATGGTCAGCATCAGATCTACTTCTGCATCCATTATTCTGTACACTTTTATGCTCACTTATATTACTTTTATTTGGTTATTTTTTTTAGTGTCCTTGGATAATCTACGAATTCCAGGTGTGCTCCAAAGATTAGCTTGCACATATTTTGTTGTTGCAACACTGGAACTGCTCTTTGCCAAACCTACGCCTGAGAACAGTACTCTGGTCAGTGAACGGTTTAACAGAAATATACCAACATAAAGTGAAGAGAATATTTAGTTCGGTGTTCAACACAATCATTCCTCAACACTTGGTGAACAAACTGGCCCTATTAGGTTTAATATCCCTTTATATAAGTGGATACTTGATTTCTTTATTGATTGGCTCCAGGTTGTACGAGTTGGAAGAAAAGTTTCCAACTCCATCTCCTTGAGTACGGGTTCCCCACAGGGCTGTGTCTTGAGTCCATTACTGTTCACCTTGATGACTCATGACTGCTGTGCCAAATCTGCTACAAAACTATATTGTGAAGTCTGTGCATGATATGGCAGTGGTGGGTCTTATTCAGGACGACAGTGAAGATGCTTATAGGGAAGAGGTGAAAGCTCTGGTGGACTGGTGCAATAAAAGTAACCTGGTTCTGAATGTTAATAAAACAAAGGAGATCATTGTAGATTTTAGAAAGAGCTGGCATACTCCACTCTGTATCAAGGCTGCAGCTGTGGAGGTGTTCAACAGTATTAAGTATCTGGGGGTGCAGATAACTAACAATCTGACTTGGTCTCTCCACACATCATCCTTAGTGAAGCATGCAAACCAGCGCCTGCATTTCCTGTGTCGGGTGAGGAGAGCACATCTTTCTCCTTCTGTCCTGGCCGCTTTTTACAGAAAAGTGCAATTGAGAGCATCTTAACAAACTGTATCACTGTCTGGTTTGGTGGTAGCAGTGCCTCAGATAGAAGGTCCATACAGTGAGTGGTAAGGACAGCCTAGAAGATCATAGGAAGCTCTCTTCCTAGTATTTAGGATGCTGCTTATAAGTGCTACGTACTTAGAGTTTGAAGCATTGTTAGAGACCCCACAGACCCATTTCATGGTCTGTTTCTGTTGCTCCCCTCTGGAAGGAGGTTTCGAAGTATATACTACCAGATTCTGTAACAGCTTTGTTCCCTATACCATCATCTGGTAAGCTCACAAGATTCGTTTTTCTCGCCATGTTTATGTATACATCCGAACTATACTGTTTTTCTGGGCCACATATGTGTGTATGTGGGTATATGCATATTTTATTTTATTTGTCATGTTTTTGCAGTGTATATTGGAGATGATTAGCTTTTGAGAGCTGCATGCAATGAAATCTCATTTTAATGTATACTGATTAGTGCACATTTAAAGTGACAATAAAGTTATTCTATTCTATTCCCTTTTCCTAATTCAAAGTTTTTAATTAAAATTCTCTGCTTCAATCTGAAATTTAGAAAAACTGAGATAGAGCTTATCAAATGCACTGAATACAAATACCAGTTCTCTCCCTTGTTTCAATAGTTGACTTACTATATATATGGAGATTCTCAGTCATTCGGGTCATGATTGTCCCAAAGGTGCTTTTTCAAAAGACAGTTGGACTTCCTTTGTTTTTCCTTGAAGACATTTCACTTCTCATTCAAGAAGCTTCTTCAGTTATGACTGAATGATGGAGAATGGAGGATTTATATTCCTTGCAGTCATCTGGTTGTTAGCACTCTCTCTGAGAGTCATTGAGGCCACTTGGAGGTTTATATGTGCCCTTGGAGGTTTATATGTGCCCTCAGGGCCACCCGAATAGTGCAAATGGGTGGGAACCTTCTTGGAACTGCTGAAAGAACTGTATTGTGAACAGGAGATAGGTGGCATTGTATCCCTCCCCAAATGTTGAGAGAGGACTGTTCAGTTTTAAAATAGATGGCCTCTTTGACTCTTCTTTCAAACCAGCAGGCCTCTCTTTCCAGAATGACATTTGTCTTTCAAATGCAGATGGACTGCTGAATCTTGTCCTTATGAGTTTGTTCTCCTATGTTTCTTTGTCCATAACCAAGAAGAGAACAATAAATGAAACAACCATGTTGTTCCATATTTTGCAGGAATATCTGAAAAGCTCAGGAGGATTTTCAACCAATACAATATACTGTACATGCATACTTTAAAACCCAAGAATACACTAAGACAGAAGCTTGTCCACCCCAAGAATGAAACATCCAGACACAAACTGACCAATGTGATATAGGCAGTACAATGCACTGAGAAATGGGCAGATCTGTGCATTGAAGAAACAAAACAACCACTTAACAAATGCATGGCACAAACAAAGCTATCAGGATAAGATTCAGCAGTCCATCTGCATCTGAAAGACAAAGGCCACTCTTTTGAAGACAGCAAAGTCCATATTCTGGACAGAAAGGACAGCTGGTCTGAAAGAGGGGTCAAAGAGGCCATCTACGTTAAAATTGAGACCCCTCCCTCAACAGAAGGGGAAGGATAAGACACCACCTATCTCCTGTTTACAGCACAGTCCTTTCAGCAGTTCCAAGAAGGTTCCATACCCATTTGCACTATTTAGGTGACCTTGATGGCACAAATAAACTTCCAAGTGGCCTCAAAAATTCTCAGAATGAGTGCTAACAATCAGATGACTATAAGAATATAAATCCTTCCATTCTCCACCATTCAGTCAGAACTGAAGAAGTTTCTTGAATGAGAAGCAAACATCTTCAAGGAAAAACAAAAAAAGTTCAGTTGCCTTTTGAATTTTGGGACAATTACCCCAATAATTCACAAAATCCAATAGGCTTCTACTTCATAAATCCTATAGAAAAATAAAACTGAATGGTAAGTGAGTGAGAACACAGCTGTATAAATGAAGTGACACTTGCTGAACGTAGGGAAGGCCTTATTATTGATCCTGCATTGTAATGATGATGGCAGCAAGGAAGCAGTAGGGTTTCAGAAATGATTTAGATAGAGGTATCTTTTTTCAGGATCGTTTAAAGAGTACTACATCAGAATAATTTTCAGAGCATGCCAGCCCTACGAAACAGGGCTTTTGTGCTGCTAAGAGTGTCATCTGGTGGAGCTGTTCCTGAATGTTTTAAAGCATTCTTCACTCGGGTCCAAAAGGTGACTTCAGGTATCCTGTAGAAGTCTCCCATGACAAAATTATTAAACTTTTCAAGGATAATGCTAGTTTCTGCTTCTTGAAATGTGTTTAGGTTATAGAATGGTTACTACCTGACCACAGTTCTCTGGTCTATTTCTTAGAACAAACAAAAGAGGTAGCACTTAGTTTTAAAGCCCAAAACAGCTTGGAGCCCTTCTCTTCCACATCAATTGAACCATGTATTAAACATATGTGTTTAAAGCCCTCCTTCAAATATCTAGATAGGATAGGTAATGAACCAAAAAAAGGAGTGAGGAATGAGCTTTGGGATTAAGTAGTCCTTTCCTAATGCTTTACTGAGGTGCTTTATACTGTGGCTAGCTCTTTTAAAGTTTAATATTGTTAACATTTGTTCAATTGTTTTCTTTGTTAATGAATGTATTGCTCTTTTATGGACTGCTCTGAAAAATAGAAAATGAAAGAATGATGGAATTAAGTTATTAGATAAAATAATCAGTTATCTGGCTGTAATGCTTGATCTGGACTGAGAACTACTGAATACAAATGTATGAGCTTCTGTTAGTTCTCCTTTGCCATTCTGGAAAAAAAAGATTGGACCAGAACCATGTTAGTCAGTGGCTAAAGTTAACTACTGTTATGAAGATAATAGAAGAAAAATTCTTGAAAGTATACAAATAGTATTGAGTGAATACCTCCAGCAAATCCAGCACTTGTAGGAGTTTCACAATGAAACCTGAATTATTCATATTTTACTTTTCTTTCTGTGTTTTAATAGGAGACTTCCTACCCTGCTCTTCAGGATATTCTTCCTTATTGGCCCCAGTGGCTTTTTATGTTGGCCCTTGAAGGACTTTGGCTGGGCCTCACCTTCCTTCTGACTGTACCTGGGTGTCCAAAGTCAGTTGAAGCTTAAATCCTTTTTCTTTTTTCAGTTTTATTTTTTCCGGATACCTATAGGATTTAATATACTGTTCTGATTAATAACATTTCAATGTTTAACAATATTCTCATGAGGAAGCCTCACTGAAATCAGTTGGAGCTAGCTATTCCAGGAGTGCTATTTATCCCCAGGCTGCCTTTTTTTACAGTGATTTGCATATGGAACTCCTAAAGGGCTGTGAATATGGCTTAGATATGACACATAATCAGGCTAAGAATTTTGTCATGAGGTTCCTGTTTTGGGATTTTGATGGACAGTGGGAATGGCAGTTAGATGAGATGATGGACATTGGCCAATTCTGGAAATTGTCAACATATTCTGGAAACCATTGTACAATCTAACAGCTTACAAAACTGCTTTCTCTTTATGTTAACACTACACAATAAGAGTTCCTGACCCTTTCAAATAAGCCTGCTCACACCCATGCTAACATATGACTCACAGATTTTTTTCCCCTCCTGTAGAGGCTACCTAGGACCTGGAGGTATTGGCAGTTTGGGAAAGTTTCCCAATTGTACCGGAGGGGCGGCAGCTTATATTGATCATTTGCTTCTAGGAGGAAAACATATCTATCAACACCCATCTTCTAACGTGAGTTAAACATTCCAAACATCTATCAACTATTTATAAAATGGTTCAACCTGCTTAAAAGTTTTATCACTGCTTATTAAGAATATTGGAAGGCAAAACTTGATTTTAATTTTTGTAATTCTTCAAAGCTGCTGCCAGCTTCTTACTTTCTGTAGTTATTCCTTGAAATCAAGTAACTGTTCTGCTTAATGTTTAGATAATACTTTCATTAGATATAAAATGTTATTTTTAAAAGATAAAGAAAATACAGTTTATGTGATAGAACTTTCACTCACAATTTCACTCAAAATAGGAAAACAACATTACCATTCTTTAATTTCTTAAAGTAATTTTATGATTGAATATTACAGAAATAGTTGAGGTTCCCTGTCTCCAAGACTTTAGAAAAGAGGCAGATAAGAAATACAATGGCTGGAGCAATCTCACCTATTTTTCAGTAAATTCTAGTGCTAGCAATAAGTAGAAACACATGGCTATTTTTTCCGGTTTTCACTTCATTTAACTTTATTTAACTCAAATAAATCCTGTCCTACTGAACAATAATTTCAAACAATTACTGCTATTGTTAAAACACATGCATTTGTAATAGCTCTAAATTTACTTTAGGTCTCTTATTTTAAAATAAAAAAATAAATTTAAAATAAAATAAATTAAACAAATAAATGAATTTTCTCCATCCAGATGTCTAGCACTAACTGAGAGCAAACATAGGTAACTCCCATGCAGTTACTTTCTAACTGGAATGAAATAACCATGCCTATGTGTCCCTGTCTCGTGACATAGAAGTTCAGGATCAGAAGAAACATCTGAACAGACAACATTTTTAGATCTAAAGCTCTGTGTGGGGCTACACAAGAGCATTCTGATGCTTCAATTGGTGCAAAGCATGGAGGTGCGGGCAGTTTTTGGGTCCCCTAGAGCAGGGCTTTTCAACCTTTTCACAGATTGTACCACTTTTAGGACATGATAATATTTGAGTACCACCAGTGCTTAGCAAGGTGTCAAAAACTTGATGACTAAAAAAGGGAGGGGGGAATTTGGGTTTTACTGATTAGATTCATTTGTTCTTATAGAAATGGCTAGTTTATAATATTATGGAAAAGTAAAAAGTTGAGGTTCAATGTTAATGCTTCCTTCTACTGCAACAGAGGAAGTATGTTCTTTTTCCCTTCTCCCCCCACTTTTTCCCCCTTTTTCCTCCCCACTGTCTCCTACTATTTGCTTTTGTATTTTTATATTTTATTCTATAATCTAATAAAATATTACAAACTGTAGAAAAAAAGAAAAAAAGTACCAGTTTTAATTTCTTCAGTGGCTGTTCCTTTGCTGAATCACTTTCCCTTTGTACTGACAAATGTATGGTGAATTTATCCATATTTATTAATATGCACCACTACCAGATAGTTCAGGGGTCTTCAAACTTGGCACTTTTAAGACTTGTGGACTTCAACTCCCAGAATTCTTCAGCCCTCATGGCTGGTTGAGGAATTCTGGGAGTCGAAGTCCACAGGTCTTAAAGTTGCTAAGTTTGCAGACTCCTGAGCTAGCTGGTTGGCTCTTCTGAGTTCTTCCAGTGTAGTAAGAATGCACCCCCCCCATCCCTTCCCTGTATCCTTAAAGACACAGGAATGAAGTGCAAAGCAAGAAAATAAAGAAACACAAACTCCGGGTTTTTTTCTCTTTAAGCTGCCTCAGGCATGTCACTTGTCACGATGTTGCAATTCTAGACTGAAAGGCTCCTGCAACTGCGAAAAGCTTTAGCTTTAAATTAAGCGAGTTTACCTTCAAAGAAAACTTTCTAAAAGCCACAGACAGACTCAGTTAAAGGGGGTAAAACTAATTACATTTGTTTAAAGAGATTAAACCTTTCCTGTTGTCTTTTTTCCTCTTCCCTCACCCAAACCACGTTCTTTTATAGCCTCTCCTCTCCCCCCCCCCCTTTTTCTTCAGTTCACCTCCAGCTCCGAGCTGCTTCTGGAAGCGCCAATCAGCTGGAGCCCTGCTGGCTCCTGGGGCTTCTGCTGAGCCTAGACAGTCCTGCAGCTGCAGCTGCCTCTCTCTCAGCCTTGGATAGCTTCGGCCCATTCCCCTCCCCTGCTACACTTGGCTAGTAGTCGTGTACCACCTGCCATGTGGCAAAGTACCACAAGTGGTACGCGTATATGGGTTGAAAAGCCCTGCCCTAGAGCAGGGCTTTTCAACTGGTGATACGTGTACCACTTGTGGTACATTAATGAATGGCAGGTGGTATGCAGCCCTGCCTAGCCAAGTGTAGTGGATGAGGGAAAGAGCCAGTGCAGGCAAGGACTTACTGTGAGAGAGTCCTCTGGAGCTGCAGAGTGGCTGGGGTGAAGCAAAGGCCCCAGGCTCACTTCTGACTCACCCTCCCCCATGAGAAAGGAGGAGGGGGCAGAGACAGGAGAGGCTATGAAAGGAGGCAGTTTGGACGGGAGAGGGAGAGAGAAAAAAAGAAGCAGCCTTGGGAGGAGGTGTATCAGTTCTAGCTGCACCCAAGGGGGAGGGGGGGAGGGGAGAGGAGATCAAGCAGGCCAGCCATGAACCAATCTACAACTTCTGTGGCAGCCACCTGTGCTGGCAGCAACAAACAGGCAAAAAATGCAGCAGGGGAGGGGTTGCCCTCCATGAGGAATGAAGAAAGGTAGCATCAGCTGGAGGTGAGACACGGAGAGAGATAGAGAGTGGAAGGATTATGTGCTTTTGTGACTTTGAAGTTCTGGGATTTGTGCAATGAGGGCTTTGTGTTCTTAAGAGTGTTTGGCAATTTCTATTTGGCTGATGGCTGATGTCTCCTGTTAGCTTCTATTTCTTTGCTATAGTTAGCTGTAAGTTTTGCTGCAAGGGATTTTGAAGTATTTTTTTCCTGAATGGATTTTGCCTGTAGCATTCCTTCACTTATGAATGGAGCCATTTGACGAGGCAATACTTACTACATTTTTTTTTCTTCGTTAAGTGCTGGCTGTGCTCCTTAACTTTCCTTTCTAGCCAGTAGCTAATTCTTAAAGGATTTTAAGATAGTTCCCTCAATGGCTTCTCTTTTCTGTCTCTGGAGGCTTTTCCTTGTTTGATGAATATATGGAAGAGGGAAAATATGGTGGGGTTCAAATTCTTCCTTCAGAAGGAGGTGAGAATGAGAAAGAGAGGCAGGGAGGGAGGGAAGAAAGTCCCACCTTAGCACTTGGCCACCAGCAGCCCTGCCATTGACTTTGCTTGTCAAAAGGTTGCAAAAGGGGATCACATGACCCTGGGACACTGTGACCATCATAAATATGAATCAGTTGCCAAGCATCCAAATATAAATCATATGACCATGGGCATGCTGCAATGGTCATAAGTGTGAAAAATGGTCATAAGTCATTTCAGTGCAATTGCAACTTTGAACAGGTTTTTGGGGGGCTTTTGGTCATCAAGCTTTTGACACCTTGCTAGGTGGTACTTGAATATTGCCGTATCCTAAAAGTGGTACAGTCGGTGAAAAGTTGAAAAGCCCTGCCCTAGAGTGGCCTATGTTACGCTGCTGTTCTGTGAGCTGCATTTGATAGCTGGTTTGCTTTTGGATGCAATTCAAGATATTGGTTATTACCTATAAAACCCTGCATGGCATGAATCCAGGTTACTTGAGGAACCATCTCAACCATGCTGGGTAGAGGACACATGCAGTGGATCCCGTTTGGTCAAGGAATTCTGGCTGGTGGGGTCCAGAAATAAGAGTCTTCTCTGTCATGGTGCCAACCCTTTGGAACATCTTGTGCCCCCGGGGTAAGATCTGCCCTCACCCTTCTTCAGTAAGAGTCTGGCTGTGCCATTTGGTCTGAGACTCAATGGGGGAGTATCATGCTGGCAGTGGTAATGGACTATTAGTGGATCCTACCTTCCATGCTGCGCATCCTGCTTCCATTTTTTAACCATAACTTTGTATTCTTACTCTTACTGTTTTGTATACGTATATACTTCCTTACTGTTATTAGATCTATCTTATCTATCTATATTTATGATTTTACCGCTTTTAATGTAAGCTATCCAGAGGCATCTCATAGTGAGATGGATGGCAAACAAATTTTATAAATAAAAAAGTGCTAAATCAAAATGTATTTAGGTTAGCAACTAATGTTTCTACAAAATTAAAGGTTAAACAGAATTTCTAATGTACCCTTCTCAATCCCTAGGTGTTGTATCTTACTACTGTCCCCTTTGACCCTGAAGGAATTTTAGGAACAATAAATTCTGTTTTTATGGCATTTTTGGGACTTCAGGTATTGTTTTCTCTTGCCCTTCATAAGCAGAAAATCTTCATCAAATGCTATATAGAAAGATGAGATATTATAATTCCCTATATGAGTATGAGGGATGGGAGGTCCTTCCATAGGAATAATAATACAAGTGTTGTTCAAATAGGCTTTTTGGAACAACACAAGGATACTTATTTTAACATTTCAGACAAGACATAGAACTAAAGAATTAACTATTTAATAACTGCATTACAGAAAAAAACGTAATATGGTTAAGAAAAACATATCCCAAAATCAGATTAGATGAAGATATTAGTAGAACTATTTAATGCTGCATTAGAATGCAATGTTTACATCATGAACTAGATCTCAGTTTCACTCTATTAGTCTGCTACAGCCATCCTAAGCCACGTTTAATGTTGTTGTTGTTTTTCAAGGGAGGAAAAATTCTTTTGTTTTATAAAGATCAACATAAGCAAATAATTCTTCGATTTTGTGTGTGGAGTATAATAATGGTAAGTTACAAATATTGCCTTGTTAGTTCAAGTACTGTATTTATTTCTCAATTCGTTTTAAATGTTATTTTCTGGCAAATTTGCCTCAAAAGAGATGAATACTTCCTCAGCTGCAGTAAACTGAATTTCAGTTCTTTAGAGGATCACACTTGGAATGCAAATTAAAATATTCAAAAATAAGAGAATCCCTATCATCTCTAGATTTAAATCATTGGGTCTTGATGAACTACATCCCAGAGTTCTGAAGGAACTGCAAGATTGATTTTAGAACCATTGAAACATATCTTTCAAAGTTCTTGGATAACCAGGGAACTGCCTGAAGATTGGAAAAGAGCTGATATGGTCCCCATCTTAAAAAAAGGAAAAAAATAGATCCAGGAAAATACAGACCAATCAGCCTGATATCAATTCTTGGGAAGATCTTGGAAAATATAATCAAGCAACAAATCTGCAATTGCCTAGAAGCAAACAAGATTATAACCAGAAGCCAAAAACAGATCATGTCAATCAAATCTTATTTCATTCTTTGACAAAGTGACCAGATTAATAGATCAGCAAAATGCTGTGGACCCAGTATACTTAGATTTCAATAAAGCATTTGATAAAGTAGACCAACACCTACTTCTTGGCAAGTTAGGGATAGACAGCACCACCAGCAGGTGGGTTTGTAATTGGCTGACAAAATTGTAACTGTCTTTAAGTATAAACTAGGTGAAATTTGGCTTAATGCCAGTAACTGAGAAGAATTTTGGAGTCCTAGTGAACAGTCCCTTAAATATGAGCCAACAGTGTACAGCAGCAGCCAAAAAGCCAATGCAATACATACGCTACATTAATAGAGGGATAGAATCAAGATGACGTGAAGTTCTGGTACCGCTTTACAAAGCTTTAGTAAGACCACACTTGGAATACTATTTCCAGTTTGGTTACCATAATATAAAAAAGATGTTGTGACTCTGGAAAGAGTGTAGAGCAGAGGTCCCCAACCTATGGGCCATGACCCACTACCAGACCATGGCCTCTTGATCACCAGCTGTGTGAGTGGCTGGCCAATGCATGCATGCATGTGTGCGTGCTCTGCCCTTGCGCCGGCGCTAGGAGAGCCGCAAGCCTTTCACCGGCACTAGGAGAGCCGCAAGCTGGTGCTAGGAGAGACGCACACTGGCACTAGCAGCCCCATTAGCAGCGCCCCATTTGCACACACGCAGCCACATTTTTGTTTGTGCACATGCGCACATAAAGGTGCCTGTCCCTCCCTTACTCACCGGGCCAAAAAGATTGGCGACCCCTGGCGTAGATAATAGTAATAAAAATAATTACGGGGCTATAGGTTAAAACATAGAAGAATGGTTTCAGGAATTAAGTATGTCTATTCTAATGAAAAGGACTAGGGATGACATGACAGCACTCTTCTAATATTTGGGGGGCTCTTACAAAAACGAGGGGGTTAAAACTATTTTTCAAAGCACCAAAAGCCAAAACAAGAAACGATTCCTAACAGTGAAAGCAATCAACCCATGGAATAGCTTGCCTCCAGAAGTTGTGGGTGCTCCATCACTGGAGGTTTTCAAAAAGAGACTGGACAACCAGTTGTCTGAAATGATTTAGGGTCTTCTGCTCAAGCAGGGGGTTGGACTAGAAGACTACGAGGTCTTTTCCAATTCTGTTATTCTGTTGTAGAATTGGCAGAGCAACAGCTCTGGGGTAATTCAGAGCAAGTCAAGTGTGATATCAAATAGGAATTTGTGAGGAGCTGAGCATGTCAGGAAGACATAAGTTGTAGGAAGACATAAAGAACAAAGAAGAGCAATCAGTGAAACTGTATGTTCTGAGGAGTGAAAAAAAATCTTAAAAGCTGCTGATTGGAAGAGGTATATACTGAAAGTTCCCAACTACATATTACAAATGAGTGAGTGATTGCTTATTGAGTAAGCAGAGACTCTAGGAATATAAGGCAGTCTTCCAGAGAATGAACTAACAAAGCAAGTGAGCAGAAAAATCAAACAGAACATTCTGTAAATCCAGCATTTATTTTCATTTAAAATATGTTTGTTTGTTTTTAGGGTGTTATTTCTATGGTGTTGACAAAATGCTCAAAAGAGGCAGGCTTGATTCCAGTTAACAAGAATTTATGGTGAGGAACATATGCAGTCATTTTATTCTATAAACTGATATTTGATAGATAAATCTTGGATTACTTTTTGACATTTTTGCAGGTCAATTTCATATGTGACTACACTGAGCAGCTTTGCCTTTACACTTCTGCTGTTGATATACTATCTTGTAGATGTTAAGAAGGTATGGTCAGGTGCTCCATTTTTCTATCCAGGTGAGTATGCTTAAAAAAAATATTTTATTTAACTTTTTTTCAGATTAAAGACCTAGATGGCTATGAAGACCTAGGTAGATTTTCTTCATCTCTTGATTCATACTGGGCAGTTTCTATCTCTCCCACCCATTATGTAGAAGTTTTACACTGGTTTATATCCTTCTAGCTGTTTCACCAGATGCATTGTTCAATTCCTGTAGCACAGTAAATTTTTGCTAACCAGTGGCTGGATTTCCTGGAATCATGACATATGCCACCATCAATTTATGGTTGAATTAATGGTTCCCTAAAATATGGGTGAAATAGCTTTTGGAATGATAAGGGTGGGGATACATAATCCTTCCGTCTTCAATCATTTATCTACCAAAAATCACCATCCCTTGCCTATTTTCCTCTCATTGGATAAAAAAATAGAGGGATTAAATATTCCTTGTTATGCAGGAATTGAACAAAGATGAGATGAGAGTTAACGGAATAATGGAATAACAGAGTTGGAAGAGAGAGAGCAATCAAACTCCACTTATTCTTGAGATGAATTGCATACCTTTTCATTTCTTGCTTGACTATTTTATAGGAATATTTTGGAATAAAAATCTAATTAATCTTGGATGAATTATAAAAGAAACTTGAGTAGCTTTGGGGACAACTGAAAATACTGGTGGCAGGACCTATGGGATTGATAACCAGAAATATTTAGAAATCATATTGTAAAAAAAACCCCATTTTGTTCCTTGTAGTTTATAGGAATTTTTTACTTCCTTGATCCTCTTAACAATTATTGCAATTTGATATATGGGTCATTATTTGTGCTTTATAGACATTTTCAAGTTATTTAGAAGCCATGGAAGAGGACTGAATGTGAAGCTGGTAACTCCAGGGTAGGGTAGATGGGACTGGGTGGCAGTGATCATTTGAGAATCTCTTGGCATTCAGGGGCTGTGCTCCACAACTTTTTGGTTGTGAGACCATTTCTGAAGCTGGGCTCATGGGATCAGTTGGGACTGTTGCTATTATACCAGCAACCCTGCTACATGACAATCTCCCTGTCTGAGCTGCTGGAAGCTATTTTAGTGCTGGCAGTGGAATTCCCCAGGCTTAAGGTTCTGAGAGTCTTTAACCTGCCATTCCTAGATTGAGCATCTGAAGTGGCCCAGGAGTTCATGGCCATCATGGTGTCCATAGACCTAATGCAGATCATCTAAGGCCTAACTTGAGACAATAGTTATACATATGATCTTCTTGTCAGAGCAACATGATCTCGTGGAGGATATAGCATTATCCCCCGTTATGGTCGGATCACACCCTGGTATCCTTGAGATTCTCTTATGCCACCACACACACACATGCAGGGGGACCAGCCTCATTTGAGTGGTCTACTTCCGACATGATGGACCCAAATGTGTTCCAGAGAGAACTGAGGGACATTCCAGAGATTTTGCTGCATGACCAGTCAACATCCTGGAATCAAAGGACAGCCAGGGCTCTGGACAGGATTGTGCCCATATGGCCTCAACCCTTCACTCCCAATTCTCCTCAAGGTTCATGGAGGAGCTGCGGACTCTGAAAAGGATTAAGAGATGCCTAGAGCACACCAATGTTACACCACTGCTCTGAGCTGCACTGGCTGCCGGTTTGCTGCTAAGTAAAATTCATGGTATTGGTTATTACCTTTAAAGCCCTGCATGGCATGGATTCAGGTTACTTAAGGAACCATCTCTACCTGTACCAGCAAAGGGGGCATGCTGTGGGCCCATCAGAGAGGGAATTTCAGGTCTTCTCTGGCTGTGGCGAGATTGGCTCCCAGCCTTCCAGAAGGGCCTGGTTCTGTCAGATGGCTTGGGGAATATCACATTGAAGGTGATTGAAGAGAAAATCCCACCTCCCTGCACATCCCGCTCCCTTCTCTCCATCTTTTAACTGTAACTTTACTTTGGATTGTAATTCTATTTTTATTGTTTTATTGTTTTTATGGTGTTATTGCTTTTAATGTTATAAGCTGTCCTGAGCAGCTTCAAAGCAAGATGGGTGTCAAACAAATTTAACAAACAAACACACACTGAAATGCGTTACTACTTTTCTGATGGTATTTTTTATTTCTTTATAGGTATGAACTCCATTCTTGTTTATGTTGGACATGAAATATTTGAAAACTATTTTCCTTTTAAATGGAAGCTGCATGATACACAATCACATAGTGAACATTTGACTCAGGATCTAATTGCTACATCTTTATGGGTTATTATATCATATATACTCTACCGGAAAAGGATATTTTGGAAGATATAATTCAACTCAACACAGATCAAAAAGTATAGGCTATGAGAACATTGTATTCCCCCCCCTTATCATATTAATGTCACATTTTTCCCCCAAGAGTCATGTATTTGGTTTACATTCCAGATTATTTTGAACTGAAATCTGCTTATTTGGGGTTTGTTGGGCTGCCATTTAGTAAAACAAGTTGTTCGAAGTTTATTTTCTACATTATTCAATTTTTAAATAAACATACTGAATGCTTTCCAATAATGGTATTTTCAAAAGATTTTTTGGTACACAATTGTTCAGAAATTTGTCTCATAAAAATCAGAGGTCACACAGTGGTGTTGGACTATATAGGCTCAGGAAGATTCTGTTCATTTGATTGTGCCACAACTCCTTGTGAAAACCACTCAGGATTATAGAATGGAATGAACAACAGTAGTCTTCAGGCTCCTTCATAGCTTCAGTCCAGCTAGGCTATTTGTTTGTAAAACTAAGATACCCTTAAGCAATAGCCAAGTCTGGCCTACAAATAACTTGTATCAACCTCCAACTTGCCTGCTTGATGATATCACTCAACCACAATGGTCTCAGGCAAAACAACATCATGAATATCTGTATCTGTTTTGTGTGACTCATGAATTATTGCAATATGACCGTAATGGAATTATGGATTTATATTATTTACCCACAATTTTTAAATCCAATCTTGGGTCTGAACTAGTTTTTTTTAATGAAATCATAATTTTAATTAATTTTGAAAACTATTCTATTTAGAATGCCAAAGTCAAAGTTTTACCAAAAAGTCATGAAGTTTGGCTGTACTTTTCCAGAAACTTTGCTTCAGCAGCTAACTGGCTAGCCCCAATGGAATGTTAACGATTTTCCTCCTTATTTGCTTCTTCTCAGCTCCAATGAAGGAGCTCAAATAAAGTCTACTCAGCTCAATGTCTGAAGAAGCAAAATCTTCTCATTCATACAAAATCTATGCAATACCATCATCAAATTTTCTCCACAGCGTGATACTTGGCGCTCCATTGCCAGACGGAAATCTTCCTTCACACCTTTGGTGATTCCTCTGGTGATTGTGTGATGTCTGCAATTATAATAACACAAACAAATTAAAGGCCATGGAGCTACATTTTATAAAATGAAAACTGCATAGTATTTGTTGTAGAACATTCCAGTTAACATTTAAAAATATTTATGGAATGAGAATGTTCTGTGATAAGTATCATACATGTATCATAAGGTTTTATGTCAAATTTCCAAGTGATTTTAAAGATATGGAAACACATCCTTAAATCCTGAAATGTCTAGATCTTGATACAGTGAATTAAAGTATCCATGCTAAAGACAATTGTATTCAGGTTTAAATTTGGCCACAAGAATATTTTTATGACTGCAAGTTAAAAAAGCAATAGAACTAATACTATATTTCATTTTTAGCATAAATTGTTTGCCAAAGTAGAGTAAAAGCAGATCAATATATATGCAGAATGTAACTGTAAAGTTCTGGAGATAACATCACTAATTATCCCTGCCCAAACACTCTCCATAAGAAATTAAATAATTTATGGCCTAACGAGGAGAGAGGAATCAACAGCACCATTTACTATTAAATTATAGGTAGTCCTCAACTTATGATCACAACTGGGACTTTGGTCACTGAGTGATGCAGTTATTAAGTAAGTAATTCCAGGACCATTTTTAACATAGTTGTTAAGCGAATCTGGCCTCCTTCATTGATTTTGCTTGTTGAAAGCCAATTGGAAGGCCACAATTCATGATCACATAACTGTAGAACACTAGAACTGTTGTAAATGAGCTGGTTGCCATGCACCCAAATTGCAATCATATGACTACGTAGTTAGTACAACTGTAGCTTTAAGAACAAGTCATAACTTACTTTTTTCAGCATCATCATAACTCTGAATTTTCATTAAAAGTCAAGGATTACCAATACAATTCTAAATTTCCCCTATAGCCACTACCATAGCACCAAGAGCTATAGAAATGATTCATGAGATTATGCCATTTTAAAATGGGCATTCTAAATTTCATTTTAGTTTCTCCAGACTTTTCATTTTTTCCTATTGCAATGAACCTGCTGACTATGACCTATGGATTCTCAAGCAATTTGAAAGGGTAAGATTTAACTATGTTTCAACATACACACACCCAATTGTCTTAATGGGTTGGGACAATATCAGTACATAAAAGAATTATTAAGAAAACAGAAACTGCTGCATATTCACCATGGATTGCTATAGTATATTTCGGTGTTACACAACCTCTAATTGTTGGTGGAGAATTTTTAAAAAATGGACAAAAAAAGGGAGGCAATGGTAGGAATGACTTGCAAGTTTTTAATCTTCTGACATTTGGTTTACAACAAGTATGACTATTTTATCTAAAAAAAACCACTATACAATATCATGAATTAGTTGAGGCTAATCGTCAAAAAAGTAAAAATGCATAATTTCAATTCTATGAAAAAAATTTACATTTTAGTTCTTATGCCACATATTCAATATGCTGTATTTGTTTGATTTTAAACAAGACTTCATATTATTAATATGCTGTCTTTTCATTGCCTCTATCTTGGTCATATAGTATTTTAACAGATTTTCTGTTGAAGAAACAACTTGCTGAAACTGCAAACCAGAAATCAGACTATATATATTTCTAGGATTACTAGCAAAACTGCATAGGTCAATTTTCTTCCACTAATAATCAAATTTGCTTCTTGAGAGGCAAAGAAAATAGGAGCAAGCAATGCAGTGAAAGGAAAGAATATGAAAAATTCTATGGAAATTCTTGCCAGTGTTAACAAATAGGGTCATTTTTTAGCTACATTATAAAAGAATGGACTAGCTTGTTAGAAAAAAAATAGAGCATCATTATTTTATTATATATAGATCCATTTGAAAGTTTAACATACATGGGCCAGTAACTTATGAAAAAAATAACAAATGTTAACAATAGTAAAACAATTTGCCAAATGATGTAGGCACAAATGAAGAACAAAAGCATGGATAAAACTATTGAATTAACAAAGGTCTGATAACCATGACCAGTAAAACATATTGACAAAAAGACAGCACACTATGAGCAGGGATGTCCTCCTGCTTTGTACCTGTCAGCAGTCTGCATGCTGGGCTGTAGTACAGGTATGAATTCCTGCTGCAGTAACCCCAGCGGAGGGCTAGAAGTCCTTTAAAAAACAGCAAATAGCAGCATTCAAACACACACCAACTTCCCCTGTGCTACAAAATCAATTCTCCAGTAATATATACATAAAGAGGAGGACTACAAATCAAAAGTCTAAATCCTAGTGCAGGCATCCAATGGGTTTTTTTTTTAATTAGCAATGATGAAACAGAAAAAGCTTCACAAGCCTAGGTCTTTCCAAAGAAGAGAATTCAAGAAGTCAGCTGAGGATTTAAATCCTGTTGGTGTGAATAATGCCTTTACCAAGAAAGACACAATGGGTAAGCAATCCTTGGATAATGTTCCTCAGCCCTTGTAAAATTTCAGTGAGGAAGCCCAACTAATGTTCATCATGTTGAAGAGAATATAAGATATCCTGAAGCACACATGAATCTCTATCTCTTTTTCAAATTGAAGAAAACTGTTACTATTAGATTAGGCTATCAATAATAATAAATCAGTCCATCTCTTTCTTTTACAAAATAGAAAGGGCTACTTGGCATCAAATACGCTATGCCTTTTCTTGCCTAAGGGCAATCTAGAGAAACTGCAGCTTCTATAATTCTTTCTCCAGTATTTTTTTTTTTTTAAAGTAATTTTGTGAAAGCAAATTTCAAAAGAAAACAACAGCAAAACCAGGGTATTTTGAAAGAGAAAAGAAAACATAACACTTCAATAGCAATAGCACCTAGATTTATATACCACCCTGTAGTGCTTTACAGCAGCCACTGGACAGTTTACAATTTCAGCATATTGCCCCCAATAATTTGGGTCCTCATTTTAACAACCTCGGAAGGCTAGAAGGCTGAGTCAACCTTGAGCCCCATCAGGATCAAACTCCAGGTTGTGGGCAGTTAATCTGCAATACTGCATTCTAACCACTGCACCACTAGGGCTTGACCCTGAATACACATTCCAGAACTGACTTACACTACAAATGCTTCCAAACAGAAATTTAGCAGTAAATTAAGATGTGAAATGTATTCTTTTTTAGCAATAGCTAAACTTCACTTGAAGTTTATTATTATTCATATATACTACAGGAAATACATATTGTAATTTTTGCCTTCTCCAGTATTTTGATTATTTTTCCAGCATTTTTCTTAATTGCTGTTGCACAATGAAAAACTGCAATGTATCTATTAAAAAGATAAGAAAACAAAAATTGTATCTCTTTTATATTAGCATTTGAAAAGCCCTGATGGAAATCTCTTTAAAATCTCTTTGAAAGCCTTTAACAGAATTCTACTGAATCTAATTTTCATTACAAACATAGAAAATGAAACATTTTAATATTCTGATACACAAACCAGTCAGCCTTTTTTTTAAATAATAAAAAATCAAATTTAAGTTGGTTAAGTTTATCAAATTTCCTTTCTAATTCAACCCAAACATGACAAAATCTATTAATTCCTTACAGAAATAATAATTACAAAATACCAAATTAATTACATCAGAACACAAATGCAGGAAAGGCTAGCAAGGCAGTACTATCACTATAATACCTTCACTTTTTTCCCAATCAATCTGGTCCGATTCTTGGACACTCCCTGGACAAGTCACTGTAGTTTTCTTGGGAAGGTTTTTCAGAAGTGGTTTGCTATTTTCTCCTTCCTAGGGCTGAGAGAAAGTGACAGCTGGCTTTGTACCTATGGTGGGACTGGAACTCAGAGTCTCCCAGTTTCTAGCCTAGTGCCTCAACCACTACACCAATCTGTTCCTCTAACACCTTTACTAACAACCAAAAAAATGGAAATAGGAATTATTTAATGATCAGCAAATGCTCTTTCTGCAGAGGAATCTCGTTATATTCATAATAAAATTGTAGCAGGATAAAACAGGATACATCTAAATATCTGAAACAGAACTTTCAATTAAAAATCAGACTCTACAACAGGTGTAATAATGCTAAATAGAGAAATGAGCTAAAGAAGGCAAACAGAATTATAACTGGGGGATGTAACTAATCTTTTCTCACTACTTCAGGGCAAAGGTCCAATTTCCTGCCTGTTCACCAAAACAAGTCATTTGAATATTTTCAGTGAAGAAAAAAGGAAGAGGATAAAACTGTTGGGTTCATTGTACAGGACAGGACAGCTATGCTTTGCTTTTCAGAAGCTGCTGGAAGATTCTGCTATCAAAGGAAACATTAAGACTTGAATTCCATACAATTACTATATAATGGAAGAACAGATAATTGGTTCATAGTTCTATAGGATGGACATTAGTCATAATAGAAGGATTAGCTACTGAAACTGTGAAGTAGGATGGAATCAGTTGTATTAGTATACCACAATAATGCATTCCATGACACAGTTGCCAACATGATAATTAAAATTAACTGACTTTGAAAAATACAAATATAGCTGGAAAAGTAAAATGAAGACTTAGTGTCTTAAGAATATATTCTTAGTAATAAAAGTGCTTCAGAAAAGGTTTTGTAAAATTAACTTTCCTATTTTTGTGAATAGAATGATACAAGGGATGTCACTTGTCACTGTGCAAAATAACAAAACTCTTTCCCTACAGGCAGAGCATCTGATTGCTGTTATCTTCTCAACCAGTGGCATGTGTAAATCATAGGTAAGTTGGGCATAAGACTAAATCCCTGAAACTTTTAAAATTTATCTCAAATATCATATTAAAAATGACTGTAAATGTTCTTGGATAAAATAGGCTTTTTATAATCATAGTGAAATCCAGGTTGTTTGATAATGTCCCCCAAATCTTGAGAACCAAAGTTCTAATAAACATTATGAATGCAATAATAAACATAAGTTATAAGGAAGTTTTCACTTTTTGGGAATTACTATTTGGAATAACTGAGAATCTAATGTGTTTGCCATAGAAGATAAAAAATGGTCTGAAATATCTTTTTTTTAAAAAGATAAATAGCTTTTAGTAGTAGTTGATAGAACTCAATATTTGGACTTGGAGCCTCACTGGATATGAATGGCAGCAGGAATCCACATTAACAGATAAGCAATTCAGAAATATCAGGATCTCTCATATCCATAAAAATAAGAGTAAGTCTCAGTAATTAAGGTCAGAATGATATCACCAAGATTTTCCTTGTAGATTTCTCTTTGCATTATGTTATGTCAGAGAAATTAGTAATGTAGCAAGCCTAGTGGATACTGGTTAATCACCTCTTCAGCTATTTTTCTGTTTGAAACTTATGAGTTTGTTTTTGCACTTTCTTTTGCTTGTATGTAGTCTATGACCACGATAAACTTCAACTATTTATAAAAGATAATCTATGACCATATCCTTGCATTATGAGCAAAATAGTTTTTGGACTGAAAACACATTTCCACTGCTCAAAACTTCCCAATTCCTGTCTTTTGGAAGCCCAACAGATAATCTACATTGATAGAAAATTCACCTCTATTGAAGTGAACAGACTTTTCCCAGGCTGCTAAAATACCTACCATGCAAATGTTTTCAATTAAAAGTTCTATCATAGGTAACCATAGGTAGCATGGCAAATAATGAAAGAATGTGAGAACTGCAACATAACACATCTGGAAGGCACCAGGTTAGCTACCCATAATGTAGGGCTTTGTAATGGTGATCTCAGTTCTTACAAAGTTATATATGTTCCAGTTCCAATAATTAAATGTTTATGTGTGAAATCATGGTTATTAGGACTAAAGTGCATTCAGAAAGTATTCAGACCCCTTCACTTTTCTCAATTTTATTATCCTGCAGCCTGATTCTACAGTTGCTGAAATTCATTTTTTCTCATTAATCTATACTCAATACTCTTCTAGAAGACCAACAAAGTCAGGACCAGTTCAACTTAAGAAAGAATGATGTTCCAAATGGCAGGTATCAAGGTAGAAAAGACTCTCCTCCTGAGTCACATCAGATGACATTCCTTTATGGGCAGCAACCTTCAACCTCTCTTTCTCACCAGACCTCATGGGTAGATTTGATAGAGGAGAGGCAATCCTACAAATAACGCAGCCCTATGCCATGTTGGAATTAATATATCATTACCAGTACCTTCAATTGAACCCAAAAGCAAACTAGTAAGTAGTGTAGCTTGTGAGAAGAGAACTTCAGTTAAATATGAAGTCTTGTATGAATTTTTCAGTTAATTCAACCTTGCTACCAAGTCAACATTCTTTTGTGGAGGGAAAATATTTTGATCACACTTTGAAAATCAAATCAGAGTCTGTCTGATTCTCTGCTGCCGTAAGCACTCAACAGTTTATTTTATTTAAATTTATTGGGGACACAACTCCAGTAGATTCTGGGCAATGCATAAAACTAGAAAAAAACTAATAACAGTTAAAATGTTAAATCTGAGAGCCCAGATGAAAAAAAAATCTAATAGATAGGAAGATCAACAAGACAAAACAGGGACCATTGGACAAATAATAAATATCTATCTCAGTCTTGAGACCAAAGCAGATTTTTAAAGCTTTCTGAAACCCTAGGAGAGAAGGCACCATCTTTATGGTGGGGAATGCTGTTCCAAAAGGTGGGAGTTTCAACAGAGAAGGTATGCTTCCTAGGTCCCACAAGATGGCAATGTTTGATGGACAGGACCTGAAGTGAACCCACATACTGAGAAGGCAAAAACAATTCGAAACAAGCAGTCTCTCAGGTATCCAGGCCCTGTGCTACAGAAGTCTTTAAAAATAATAACCAACATCATGAATTAAATTGCAGCTCAATGAATACAAACAAGAGCAGAGGAAAGAGAGATTCATCAAGAGAAAATGCTTAGAAGCCAAGACATTTATTACTGTCTCGTTATTCCAAAATATCACAGTTCATGTAAAACAGACTTGTCAAACCTGAATATCTCTGAATTATCAAAATAATATTATCTCTTTGTGTGTTTAATTTTTACAGTTAAGGAAACAAAATTGGTAAAAAGTATTAGCTTGAGATGTTTATAACATGCTATCGATCCAATTATGAATTCATCATGCTAAAACTTTCATCTGAGAATCCTACATATTTATTATTTTCAATCCAATTTATCAAGGCTATCCCTTAGTGAAAATTACATCCACTACTCTTTCAGATTAGCTATTTTTACAGCCCAAGTGAGATATAGTACTTAATGCCAAATCATCTTTATTATGGCTAAAGAGCTCGCCCAACTAAAAAAAAATCCTATTTACACATAGCAGTCCTCTGAATATCTAAGATATACTCAGAAACAAGCCTAACGTTTATTTGAATGTTTCATAAATACCATAGTGCTTTTAACATCTGTTTAGGCTTAATAAATAAAGTATATCAGCAATCAGAGTAAGTTCACAAACTTTTAAAATTGGGAAAAATATTTTCTTACTTTATTAACATTCCCTGATTTGGCAATAATTCCAAATGAATTTTTCCGCCTTCTTGTGTCCTTAAGTAGGCAAATTCTTCCAGCATATCAATATCTAAAACAAATGTTTAGGTCCAAAAGAAAGTATCTTTGAAAACAGAGAAATTACTATGATCCATTATCTGATTCCTCTACTCTGTTCTAATTTTATTCCTTATTGCCAGTGTCGTTTTTTAATCTTTATTTTCTTCTCAAACAAGATATGATGTATCTATTAGTTTATTGTAATATCCTACTTTATCCTACAGCTGTAGCTGTAATTTGGTCAGAGTTTTATCCTTGCAACAGACTAATGCAACTATCCTTTATATGTTTATCTAGGAATGAACCCCACTGAGTTCCAAAGAACTTACTAAGAAACATAAATGATTATACATGGGCCTCTTGTACAAAGGTTCGTAGCATCTGATAAAGCATACCATATCTTAAAGCATATACTTGTTCTTTCTATAAAATAACAAAAAAGGTTCAAGCATCATTTATAATGGTTTATTTTGATCCTGGTTTCCTGAGTAAACAAAATTGGACAAGTTCACACCTAATACAAAAGCCCTAAGTTATGGTTTATAGAACACAATGATTTGGTTCATACAATAACTTAACTAAACAAGCTACATTAACCAGTTTACTACTGATTCACTATGTTCTATAATCTTAGCAATATTTCTGAACCCATGCTTCTTATAGCACATTTCAAAATTCAATTGTCCTCTTCTTTTATTTGCTTTTTACTTTTTGTTTCAACTATTACTTATAAAATTCGATTAGATTTTACATTTCTTAACAGTAGATCTCAGTATTCTTAATGATTTGGAAAATATGGTCCCCTTGAAGAAACTGTTTTATCTCCAATTAATCCACTGAAGACAAAGGATACTTGTAATATAGTTGAAAAAATTTTCATATTGGAAGTTTGCTTGCTGGCAGATTTTGTTAACTGCTTTCAAGAATAAGTTTTCACCCCTTGGCCACTCATGCTGTAACAACACAATCACATGACCCAATGCCATATCATCTCTATTGTCTGTGAAAGCTTTCAGCTGTTAGGGGGAAAAAATAAACCAAACAATGTTAACAGCATCTCACAAAGTAAATTCCAAATAAACACATAATGGACGGAAATACTTCAAATTGATTCATTTTTTTCTAATATTTTTTTAGTATTTAAAAATATTATTCATATTTTCCCCAGTATGCTATTCTAAACAAGATATAAAATTTGTGAGCTGTTATTAGGGTGGAATATATGGAAAAATAAGTGTCTAGAGTTCTCAAAACAACTAGATGGAGCTTAGAATGAGGCTGATTCAGTTAACATTTATGTCCAGTTATTCAGGCAACATGTTTGTGTGTAGTATTCACCATGAAGTAAAACTGGATCTTCTCTCAAGTCACATTGTATCAGGTTCATATGCAACTTATGAATGGTATATCATGGTATTGGAGTATTGCAATGTGCTCTACATTGGACTTCCCTTGAAGACCATTCAGAAGCTACAGCTAGCACACAATGCAGCTGCCTGGACAGTTCTGGGGCCTCTAGGATGGCCCATGTAACATCTCTGTTATGTGAGTTGCATTGACTGCCACAGTTTGCTTCTGGGTCCAATTCAAGTTGTTGGTTATTATCTATAAAGCCCTTTATGGCATGAGGAATCTGAGGTTACTTGAGGTACCATCTCATCCTAATGGGATTGGATTGTCCCATTGTACCAGCAGAAGAGGTATATTGCATCCTCATCAACCAAGGAATTTTGGCTGACAAGATCCAGAAGAGCTTTTTCTGCAATAGTGCCTAGCCTCTGGAATATCATACCTCTTGAGGTGAAATCCACTCTCATCTCTTGACCTATAAAGATCTTAAAACCTGCTCTGACAATTGGCCTGGAGCCCAGATAGCATACCCCTGGCTATCTTAGCTATTTCTACTTAATTTTAATGCATTTATTGCTTCATTATTTTACTATTTTAATTTTTATACCACAGTTTTATCTGACTCTAGGCTGCCCAGAGTCACATGATAGCAAGATGGGGGAGGGCAAATAAATTCAGTAAACAAGCAAACAATCAATACCAGAATTGCTATCTCTATTAGTTAATTAATTAATTAAATTTATTTATTTATTTATTTATTTAGAAACCATCCAGCTCCCTCATAGTGGGGCTCCAGGCAGTGTACAAGTATCAGCTCAGTCAACGCGCCTACCACAAGAATGACAATATGCAATAATGAAATGAACAGCAGAGATGTTGAAAGTACTAATGCCTCAATACTCTCACTGTTAGCTAGTAGTACACAATTTATCCTTATAATAAAAATAATTATTCCATTGCTTCACTCATGAAGTCAATCCCCATGTCTCAGAAAAAATCTTTATCTTTATTTTCCAGTCTGTTATAACATCTCCCTGATGTAGAAAATAATTAATTGCTCCAACATTTGTTATATACATGATACACTGTACATTCATATTAAAAAAATGAAGATAACTCAAATCAATATTTCAAAACACATTCACAAATTTGAGATGACCTTGGTAGCCAATTATTTTAGTTAATAGTCCTCACAAACTATCTTCAATGTGGGGAGGAGAATAAGACTCTTACTTCAAGAGAGTTGGGAAAACCCCTGGGATTAACATGAATTGAAAGGTCATTTTTCCTTCCACATTCTTCAACAATGATGGGATCACTTACAGTTGCAAGAAAAAGTATGTGAACCCCTTGGGATAACGCGGAGTTTTGCATGAATTGGTCATAAAATGTGCTCTGAACGTCATCTAAGTCACAACAATAGAAAAACACAGTCTGCTGAAAATAATAATGCACAAACATTACATGTTGCCATGGTTTAATTGAACATAACATGTAAACATTCACAGAGCAGGGAGGAAAAAGTATGTGAGCCCCTAGCCTAATGACGTCTTCAAGAGCTAATTGGAGCCAGGAGGGAGCCAACCTTGACTCCAATCAGTGTGATGATATTGGATGTGTTGCTGACAGCTGTCCTGCCCGTTAAAAACACACATCTGTTATGGGTTTATTGGTTTCAAGAAGCACTGTCTGATGTGAACCATGCCTCGCAGAAAAGAGCTCTCAGAAGACCTACGATCAAGAATTGTTGACTTGCATGAAGCTGGAAAGGGTTACAAAACTATCTCCAAACGCCTTGATGTTCATGTGTCCACGGTAAGACAGACTGTCTACAAATGGAGAAAGTTTAGCACTGTTGCTACTCTCTCTAGGCGTGGTCGTCCTGTAAAAATGACTGCAAGAGCACAGCGCAGAATGCTTCTTGAGGTAAAGAAGAATCCTAGAGCAGTGGTTCTCAACCTTTTTAATGCCGCGACCCCAACCGGTCGTAAGTCGAGGACTAAACCGGTCGTAAGTCGAGGACTACCCAACCGGTCGTAAGTCGAGGACTACCCAACCGGTCGTAAGTCGAGGACTTTCCCTGCCCGGGAGCGCCGCGCATGCGTGGTTCCACCCCCTGCGCCAGCCGAGGCGTAGCTGGCAAGCGGCAGTAGGCCGACCACCAGCTGGCCCAGCCCAAGGGAGGTAAGGCACCTGCCGGAAAAGGGGGAAAAATGGCAGACAAAAAAAATGGCGGACAGCCTTGCTTGGCGACCCCCATGAAATGGTCGATCGACCCCAAATGGGGTCCCGACCCACAGGTTGAGAACCACTGTCCTAGAGTGTCAGCTAAAGACCTACAGAAATCTCTGGCACATGCTAACATTTTTGTTGACACATCTACAATAAGGAAAACATTAAACAAGAATGGAGTACATGGGAGAACACCACGGAGGAAGCCATTATTGTCCAAAAAAAATATTGCAGCACATTTGAAGTTTGCAAAAGAGCCCCTGGATGTTCCACAGCACTACTGGCAAAATATACTGTGGACAGATGAAACCAAAATTGAGTTGTTTGGGAAAAACACACAACACTATGTGTGGAGAAAAAAAGGCACAGCCCACCAACATCAAAACCTCATCCCCACTGTAAAACATGGCGGAGGGAGCATCATGGTTTGGGGCTGCTTTGCTGCCTCAGGGCCTGGACGGATTGTTGTCATTGATGGGAAAATGAATTCCAGAGTTTATCAAGACATTTTGCAGGAAAACGTACGACCATCTGTCCGCCAACTGAAGCTCCGCAGAGGATGGGTGATGC